CCACGATATTCATTGACTACTTCATCACTTCTGTTCATCCACTTTAAAATCAATATAACTTTAACAAACAGTGTTAGATTTTCATTTAAAATATTTACACAATTTCTTGCATCTTGCAACAACTTAACGAGTTCAGAATCCTGCAAATCATTTAAATGAGTTACAATACAATAGAAGAATAATAGTTTTTCAGTCATACAGTCAAATATTTACTAAATACCACACATAAAGGTTAGTTTCAAAATAAATTTGCACTTTATTTATTTCTGTATACTTTAATATAACATACAATTTATTTTTTATTAAAAATATTAAGTTCTTATGAATAATCATATAAAAATAGGAATTTGGGGGGGATTTCTCTTGCACTATGAGAGGTGGCTAAGCTCTTTCAATGAATGCCAATACTTTAAATTGAGTTAAATTCATAACCCGAAAGTGATTTTTATCTTCCTGAGCTTAAGAGTTCTCCCAATGATTGTGCATACCATTTTTACCTTTTAATTCTCACCTGTTCATGAACCAAAAAGCCACTCTAATGTAATTGCAAATGTTGTAAAATCTTGGCATGTGTAGTTTTCTTTACCCCCATTATACTTGACAGAGTTCATATGCACCATGTGGCTTTTATTCATTTGGGATAAATTCTTGGGCATGGGTGTAATCTGTAATAGATTCATCTTTGATGAACCGGATAAAAATATTACAAGTTAGGTTGTTAAATAATTTTTCAGTTCAATAACTTCTGAATATGACCGCTTAATACACGAAGATTGACTAAATTGACAGATTAATTTATTTAAATTTAATAATCTATAGCAGCGGTTCTTAAACTGTAGTCCATGGTACTCATATCAGGGGTCCGCAGTAGGCTTACACATACATACGTCAATATGTGACATGAGTGCATTAATACATTATTGTTGGATTATAATTTTATTTATTTTATATTATATATAAATATAATAGATAGATAGATCTTATTTTTAAACAATGGTTAAAAATTTGTCTCAAGTATAACATCAACCATCATATTAAGTTTATAAGAATTACATTTTAAGAATATTAAAAAAAAATATAAAAATAAAAACTAAAATAATAAAATTGAAATTTACTGAAAAATTAAGTGTAATAAAAATAATTAAATATCTATATAATATATGATTCTATATGTTTTGTTATGTCTAGTATTATAATTTATTATAATTTTGGTTTTAATAACATGAGATGTTTTATAAAAAATAATGTATTCAAAAAAAAAAATTGGTAAAGTCCTCAATTTCTAAATATCTTTCATCAGGGATCTGTGATCTACAATAGATTAAGAACCACTGATCTACATAATCATTTTTTATTTCAATTGAAATTTTTACTATCACTAACAGAAATATAACTTAAATACATAAGAGTATATTTTACAGTACATGTTTCAAAAATATAAATTCATTTTCAAAATATAAATTTAAATTGTAGAATAAATTGATGGATTTTATTGGTATGAAAAATAAAATGCTATCAAACTGCCATTAATGTTTGTTATTATCATTATAATATGAAGTATAGTATTTTGTATAATATAATTTCTATCATATTATTTTACTAAGATAATATAAAAATAGAACTTGTTTCATATTATAATAGAAATATGTTCATATACTGGCCCATATTTAATCAGAAAAAAACCAAATTGTCATGATACAATGAGACAAGATTTTTTTTTTAAGTTGTTATACAGTGTTTCCTTTTAAAGGTAACACTAAATAATTCTGTCCAGTGACATCGGATTAATATGCGGTTTTCAGGAGGGGATAGGGAATACATAAATACACATTTTTTAATGATTTTTATATTTTTAGATCTTTCCGTGTGCGCATGTGCAATACAACTTGCATTTTTTTAAATGGCAACAGGTGTTTTAATACCAAATTCGGATAGACCGAATTTTTTTAAGTCGATTTGATCCTTTTTACCATAGCTGTAAAATCAAATCTGACTAAATGGCAACCAGTCAAAGTTTCGATTAAAATCATTGAATTTTTCATCAATCATACTAGAATTTTATGAATTATTATGAAATTTTATTTATTATTTTTGTATCCGTAGGTTTGAAGATATTATTTAATCATTTAAATTTAATTTTGAGGAATTAATTAACCTCAATTAGATGTAAATGTTAGTTCATGTAAACTCCAAGTATCTTCTCCCGGTAAGTGTACCATCGTAAAAATACGGGCCGATAAGTCTCCCATCTAGTACCCCACACCAAAGGTTAGTTCCCCAAACTGTTTGGTGATTTGTATCAGTCGTCCAATATGGATTGTGATCAGCCCAATACCGGTTATTTTGTTTATTAATTATACCGTTGTTGGTAAACTTTGATTCGTCGGTCCAACAGATAAATCGTAGAAAATCGGGTTCGTCTTGTAATTGTATCATAAACCATGCAATAAATGTAAGTTTACGATTAGAATCACCTGGTACCAACTTTTGTACTAAATCAGGCCTACACGGGTGCAATTCATTTTTTTTCAAAATTTTTTGAACTTTTTTACAAGAAATTCCAATTTCGTTGCTTAAATGCCTAATCGAAGATCGAGGATTTAATTGAACATAAGCTAATACCTGCAATTCGTCCTGTTCGTTTACCTGTCCAATCAACTGTCTTTGATTACACCGATTATCACCTCGTCTTGCAGGTAGTCCACCACTATTTCTCAAAGATGATTCAATCCGGACAAAGTAATTGTGAGGAGGGTGATATCGTTCTGCATAAAGTCTAGTGGCATTTCGTGAATTACGTCGACATTCACCATAAACTAAAAGCATATCAACTTTTTCATTGTTACTTGCCATTTTTAAATTTCAATGAAATACTTGCGTTACATACGAGTTTAAAACTTGTAATGGCTTTCAATAATCACATTTAAACAAATGCTAAAACTCATCAGTTATAATGAGTTATTATTATTTTTTTTTTTTTTTAAAAAAAATAAATAAATTTGGTTTATTTTAGTAAAGGCTATAAATAAAATAATCGTAGAGATTACAAGTAATTACCAAACTTGTATCATGAAAAATAACAATAATTGATAAAATTAATAATTTAAATAGAAACTTTAATAATAGAAGTTAAGTTATGAGAAATAAATCATATCATTTTGTTTAATCTTTTCTTACTTAGTAATTGAACTAACATTTACGTCTAATTGAGGTTAATTAATTCCTCAAAATTAAATTTAAATGATTTAATAATATCTACAAACCTATGGATACAAAAATAATAAATAAAATTTCATAATAATTCATAAAATTCTAGTATGATTGATGAAAAATTCAATAATTTTAATCGAAACTTTGACTGGTTGCCATTTAGTCAGATTTGATTTTACAGCTATGGTAAAAAGGACCAAATCGACTTAAAAAAATTCGGTCTATCCGAATTTGGTATTAAAACACCTGTTGCCATTTAAAAAAATGCAAGTTGTATTGCACATGCGCACACGGAAAGATCTAAAAATATAAAAATCATTAAAAAATGTGTATTTATGTATTCCCTATCCCCTCCTGAAAACCGCATATTAATCCGATGTCACTGGACAGAATTATTTAGTGTTACCTTTAAAAGGAAACACACTGTATTTTGTCAACATAGATTACAATAAATCATTTTTCTTTGAATCAGGCGTTACGCAATGTATTAGCACCATTCAAAAACACAATATTATAAATAGTTAACAGAATTTACAGACTTTTGTTAGGTTTTAATAAAATAATTATTAAAAAAAAAAAAAACAAAATAGTAACCTACTAGCATAATTATACCTAGTTAATATTGAAATGAACAGTATAAAACCTATTTTATTTTGATTAATAATAAGTAAAATTGATGGGATACAATAGGTACTTAGATTAATAATTATTTTTATATTTTCAACATTCAAAATAACTTTTTTGGGAAAGAAATTTAATAAATATTAAATAAAAATAATTCAGCCATAGTATAATTTAGATACATGTATTACTAAGGTATTAACAGTTAAAATACAAATTTCTTGTTACTATTAAGCATAAGTAGGGTTAAGATTTAAAGGCAAAAGCCTATTTTTTTTTTTTTTTTTAATAATAACAGAATAATAATTTAATAAAATTAATTTAACAGAATAAAAATGAGTTTCATTTAATATCTAAGACAATGAATGTAGTTTTTTTTTACAGTTTTTTACTAATAAATTAACCTTTTTACTTTTTTTTTTTGTATTTGATTTTTAATTGATCTAATAGTTTTATACACAGCTTAGGTATTATAGGCACAAATGAATTTAATTTATTTTTGATAAATTCAACAAAGTTTTGATTGGAGGAACAACAAGCAATGACGATTTAATAAGTAGTAATCTTGATTTAGATAATTATTTATATATGAAATATAACTTTGGTGAATATAGAAAGATAAATTCTATGTATATACAAAAATATTTTAAATCTAAACAGTCAACTTTTTACTGAACACAGCTTATTTAAATACATGATAGTGAATTGTTTTTTTATAATAACTAGTTAGTCTATTTAATTTTGTGGTAATTTTTGTAATTACTTTCATATATAAATTAAATGCCTTATTTCACATTTAAAATGCTTTTTTTATTGATTAGGTACATTGCCTTCAAATCCAAAACCTAATCATAAATATTCTTTAGTAACTTAAAATTAAAATTAACTTTCGTTGAAATTTAAAGTTAGTCACTTAAATGTAACTACTGACCATAATTTGGAAGAATGAAAATTTTTAAAATATGTATTACAGTAATGTACTTACCTTTATTTCAATGCCAGCATCTCTGATATCACATATCAGATTATTGTATTCAAGTTTTTCTTTTTCATTGTTTTTATTAAAATTAATAAGCAATGATTTTAGATTGGTAACGAGATTAAAATTAATTTTAACATTTGGTATGTTACTCAATGCAGCATTGTTATGTTTTTTCAATAATGTTGGTGTACTGGTGCTAGGAGCCCGCATATGGTGAGAGCCACTTTTGGGAGTGCGATATGAAGACATTTCAATCTGTAAAACAATGACAACACAATGTAATGAAAATGTATACAGTCATATAAATACAGGAATCGAACAAATATTTTGATCCATTAGGTATCAGATGTGTACTCATTTAATATATTACAATCATTCAGTATGATTAAATAGACGTCATAGTTAATCATATTGAATGATCGTAATGTTAACAAATCTTGACATCTTGACAAAATCGTTATTGCATTCATAGCGTGTATAAATTATCGTCGAGGTACCTCCTAGACATTTAATTTTTACTATTTTAAACGTCTTTCAATTGTTTTATTCATTCTATGGTGGTACTGCTACAAGACGTTTTACAATATTCGCAGTAATTTCACTAAGAAAACGGCACATGGTTGCGATGAGATCCGTTTACGGGACACGTAAACCGATCGTTTCAGAAGTTTACTTACGGAAATGCCGGATCTGAGGTTATGAACTCGCAAAGCACTCGACACGTAATCACAGTGTAACAGTAATAATCGTTCATACCTGTATGCGTGCCAAAGTGTAGAACGGTATTGAAACCGCAGTTATGTTTCCATCGGAAATCTATCCGCTGATTGATCAACGAGCAAAACACGTTTTTTACAAAACGAGCGACAAAACAGTTATTGCTGATATTTTTTTACTGTTTTATATTTTCTACGAATGTAATAAGATCGAAGGAGGAGCACCGAGCAAAACGTGCTATACGACAATTAAGTATTACCTTCACCGCAGGTCAGACACACTGTGAGAAGTTACAATAATTACCGTAGAACGTCACTGTTGCGTTTCGCTCAAGGAACTTATCACAGTTTTCGTTGGGCAATTCAAAATTATTTGCGACCATGCACATTCGATCGAGCGAACTACCTGTACATCGGTTACGCAAGTGCACCTGATTTGAAATCGGTAAGTGCGTGAAGTATTTGTAAAGACGGTCTGCTTCAACACTAAGTTTCTACAACAGCTGGAGCTCATCGCGAATGTAAATTGATTAATCCATCTAAAAAAAAACAAAAAACCCTTGTCCGAATTACGTACGGGTCCTACCCGAATAGTTGTACGAATTGCAATAGGTGCGTATTTAATGCTGTAATACGTTAGTTGTGTTGTAAGACACGTAGATATTATGTACGTGTCCACCTTCACATAATAAATGTTAAAGAGAAATCGTCACGTTTGTATAAGGAAATGTCCTTAGAAATTAAGTACGTTTTTAAAATGTAAATACAACTATTAACACAATAACCTACCCCAATAAAATGTCGTTCCCAAAATAATAATAATTCAAGAGTGCAACATCACATTTTCATGATGCAACCCAGGGCGCGTACAAATGGCTAATTATCAAATGTAGAAATCCGATGGCCACAGGATGTACGTGACGTCCGGGACGATTTCACCAAACAACAGTGACCTAGCAGTCGCAGGACCGACATAAATACCAAAGGGCGAGAGCCGAGACGGCAGTTAGATTCCACAGCTCAAGTCACCCACACATCACCATTGGAGATTCCACGGACTCTGTCCGTATGTACATTGCCTGACCGTTAAGACTTACGAGTTTATCGCTCCGAGCCCTCAGACGCATGTAGGTGTGCACAAGGAATCTCCACTCCGTACATTTCATAACTTATCTATGTGATTTCTCTTGAACTTAAATAAATATCTATTACATTTATCAACAATATTGTACGATTCATTTGAACACGAGGGTCGCAACAGTTGTTAAGAGAGGGGAGGGAGTCTCTAAGAAATATTACTAGCCATGAATTGCTATCACCATAGACATAATTAGTGATGGGAATAATCGAGTGATTTCGATAATCGAGAGATTAGTAATCGAGATATTATAGTAATCAAGTAATTCACTCGATTAAAATAATCGAGCGAATAGTAATCGAGATTATTTTTTCTCGATTGTTCCCATCACTAGACGTAATTGTATTGATTTTAAGACAAATCTAGTGCTCACAAATAAATACTCATTTAATTAAACTAAAGATATATTTGGTTATTGGTTGAAAGAAAAAATCATTATTTTACATAAATTTAGTATTAATCTAGAATAAAACATTTATTAGAAATAATGTTTTATTATCATTAAAACATTGGGCCTTAGAGGTATTCAAACCTATCAAACTATTCTTTAAATTAATTATATTTTTTTTACATTTAAGTAGGATGTATGCTTGAAACGAATCTATAGACTTCATTATTTCAAACATTTTTTTTTCGTTGATTTGATTTAGTCATCTTTAAATTATGGATATTAATGTATTGAATATGTATTTATTTTAAAGAAAATTTTATTAATTTAATATAATTCAGTATTAATTCTAGGTAAATCGTTGAACTTCAAAATAATGATTCCATTTCATTAAAACACTGAAAGATATTTTTCTGAGTGTAGTGATTAAAAACCCGAACAAAAAGACATACGGTCCGCCGCAATGTTTCAGTTGTCAAGACTATGATCACACGCAAAACTATTG